AAATTGAAATAGCAAATGTGTTTGTAGTTTCAAGGATAGTGAGAAGACCCCCAAAAAGTATATTTTCTAAAAGAAATTCTCAAAAATAAACACTGAAAAAGGAAAATGCTTTGTATCAAATATGTCTGTGGGGTTTTTATTATTAGGAGGCCTTAATTAGAAGCGTTTTAAAGAAAGACAAAAAAAAAAGAAAGGCAGTGGTGAAGGCGGGTTGGCCTGATGGGTCAATGAAAGAACAAGGCCAAGGGATCCCTGGCCATCCCTTTGCAGAGCAGTCCAAACTGTTACGAATTGTAGTCTTTTCTTTTGGAAAACATATTACAACTCATGCTAACTCAGGTACCTTTCTTTGACTGCAGTCATAGAAGGATTCATGAAATTCAGTCTCTATCTCCCTCCAATTTAACCGGATGCTAAACTGAATTGAAGAGCTCCTGGTATTGGAGCAAAAGCAGGCACAAAGTACTAACCTGATAGAGATGTGTGGCTTGTTCAAGTTTGTTCCAAAAATGTGAATGGGTTAACATCATTGTGGTAGGCTTTCTGCTACACCGGCACTTGTTTACTGTAACAGCTTACCTTCTTGTTCAAATATTTATCTGTTCTTCTACAACTGTCATAAAGACGTAGTAACTCTACACTGTGTCCTCAAGTCCAATCCAGATCAAAAGAATTCTGATATAGCAGATCCAGAAATTATATCCGTGAGGTTTCATGGTGCGTGTGTGCACAACAACAGTCACGCAAAGGGGCGGCCCTGCTCCTGGCTACACAATGCCACCGACTCTCCTGCCCTGAGTGAAATGAATGTGCTGCCACAGGGTGCATTGTTCCAGTGCAGTAACCCTCTGAAAATCCAACTTCACCAATTCTAACAGCAGTTTTCATTCAAATCAGCTCCTACAACTGATTCACGCTCTGAAAGCATAGTTGGCCTGCCTTAAACAGTCAAGGAGTTAGAGGGGAAGGGAAACGTGTGTGAAAAGCAAGAGAGGAAGTGGGATTGCATCCTGGGATGGCAAAGAGATTAACAGGATTAGCATAATTGCAGTAGACACGTATTTCCATGTTGCTGGCCCATTCTTAGCACAGATCCATTCATACAGTTTACTCAGAAGCAGCAGGAAGCACAAAGACCTGCTCTGCATCAATGTAGGATTCCTCACCCCCAGCCCCCAATACTGCTGTGATCTTTCTTGAATGTTAAAGTTTTAGTATTTTACATACATACTAAAAGAACTTTACAAGTAGAGATAGAGGTGTGGTGGTTGTTTGTTTTTTTTCTTTCACTGGTTGATTTTACTCCCAGATTACAGGTATGGGCCGAACCGGATGTAAGGATTTGAAAGATTCCAATGGCGTATTTATATATATGGCTTTTTGACTGTTGGACAATACTACATACCATTGGGATAAAATTTGGTGTTTCTTCATTGAACTGTTTGCTTCCCTGTTTTTCAGGGAACACTAGAAGGTGTCGCAGATGCTGCCTTAAAAAGTGAAATTGTGCTAGGATTTTGAATTTCTCTGGGTAAAGATGCTGAGTCCTGTTTCTGTCTGTCTTTGGAAATGTGACATTGCATAATTCTGCCCTTGCAGTAATGAGGACAGTAACTTCTCTTTGTTCTGTAAAACTTAGTGGAGGTTTCCTTGATGAAGCAAAGCCACAGCCTAGTTGCTGATGAATATGAATTATACCATGTTCTTCGGGGTTCCTAGGCATTCCAGGAAAAGGTGGGAACTATCACATCCACATCCTTCCCACAAAATAAGCAATAAGAAACAAAAATGATTAAGTGAATCTCTTCTCAATGACTAATTGACTATTTCTACAAGTGTTTTGGAGCCAGGGGAAATAGCACTAGAAATATATCAGAAATGTCTTAATGCTGAGGTTTATGTTGGCAAGGAGAGCAGTGAATGTATACTGCGCTTTTCTTTCCCATGTCACATTCTTGAGCTCTCATATGATAAAGCACCACTTTTTACATGAGTTTTTCCCTTTTCTCCTCAGTGTCCTCATGATTCCTTCCCTTCTTTTAGGTGATGCCTGTTCTGATTAAGGCATGATAAGAGGGACATTTTCTTTAAAATCTTGTACTGTTGGCTACCATCAACTCAGTCGCAATTCTGGAAACCCAGCAGAGCAGACTCTCACAGCTGCAGCTGTTGGTAACGCAGCTCAAAACAGGTCTAGCCTCAGTATGTATGCTGGGGAGATCAATGCTGCTGCCACTGGTGGGAATTTTCCTCAGAATTTCCCTCACCTAAAAAGAATCAGTATTTGCCGTCACCAGATTCCTTTATAGCTGCAGTGTAACAGGACAACTTCTGAGAAAATTGCTTACCCGCTTTGGACTGGACAGATGGTTTTCTGTTCCACTGGAAAAGCTTGAGAGAACACAAGGTGTAAGTTCTGCTGTAGCAAACTAACGCCTAATAGGTGTTGGCTTCACCTTAGCAATTGCACTACTAGCAGGATAAGAAGTGTTTTCAGTGCTAATGGTGACTGGCAGTATGCATTCTGTCCTGGAACAGTGAAACAAACATGCAGTAAGTATTTTGCAGCCCTTACAAATGTGGATGGATTTGGTGGTTGAAGTCTAGATTTCTGCCATTAAGAAGCAGCCAACAGTTGAGGAACGAACCACCCCTTCTGCCCCCAAAAAACAACAAAAAAAAAACAAAACCCACCACCAACAAAAAACCCTCCACCACCAAAAAAAAAAACCAACCAACACCCTGCATCAGTCCTATCACTTTGAATCTTCCTGCAGAGTGATCTAAGGATTTAAGATACTGGTCAAATCAAGAACATGCAGCTTTCCAGAAGTACTGAATCATGAAGGGAGAGAGGCTGGTAAAGCTGCAATCCAGAATCCCCTGTGCTTCTTGTTGAATTGTTTCCAGCAATCTCTTCCTAATTTGAGCTCCTGAGCTCATCAAAATCTCAGAAGTCAAACAAGCTGACTTCCTACTGCAAACTTGCACCCTAACTGTAGAAGAGATATAAGACGTGGTATTTTGCATGTGGGAAGAGTAGTTACAGGTGGTGAAACTGAGGTAATTTGCATATTCAGTCACTGAGTGGGTAAATTACCTCAGTTCAGACCTTTTGCTACCCACTAATAATGCATATTTTTGTTCCCTTTCTACATATGTTTAGCTTGCTACCTTTCATTTTAGTTCACTTATTACTCTGACATTGATTACACACAGAAAAATAAAACTATTACATTATCTTTTCATGGCTGACATTTCTTAACTTTTCCCCAAATGTAGCCTAATCAGTCAGATCTGTGTAGAAACTTAGATGGACATCATTGTTTTATGGAAGACTGGCATCTTTTGAGACCTTGGCCATTCATCTCTGCCATTCCTTCAAGGCATGTTCTTTGGGCACTGATTTGTTTAATTCCTCCACAAACTCATGGGAGTTTAGGGTGGAGAGTGGTCTTATGGAAAGATTTTTTTATTCTATATGAGGCATGAAAATTTGAAATTGAGCTTACAAAAGACATTTTGCAGGTAGCTGTGAATTAGAAGTGGTGGGCTCAGAAGGTGGTTTCTCAGACATAGAATTGTGCATGTTATGATTTGTTAAAATGACCTTTTACAGCAGAACACCTTGGGGTTGCCTCGTACAGCTGGCTGCAGAGCTGGGCTTGTAACTGGATGCTTCACAGCAGCATTTGTTGTGAAGCTACAGGTGTTACGGAGTACGTTACGGAGTATCTAGTAGGCTGTAGTATATAGCTGCCCTCTTGTGGAAGGAAAAAAATTGTTGAGGACTTTCATATGCATATTTACATAATTGTGCAGTAGTTACGTGTAATTCAGGCAGTAATTTATCCCAGCACTAGCATCAGGGGAAAATTCATAATCCCGGTTTGCACCACATTACCTATGAGCTGCGTCTTGTCCTCAGCTCAGGATTTCAGTATTTTAGACAAGATCACTTTTTAAAAAGCAGCTCTTCAGTCACACTTGTAGGCAGAGAGTATTCCTTTAGCCCCCTAAAGAGGCAATTACACAATCTGTAAGTTTATATGCTGTAGGTTTACATGTTTATATCATTCAAGAATTGTGTCCCCATTCTGATTTAAAGTTCAGCATCATTTGAAGCCAGAGTTGGTTTTCTAGGAGAGCAAGGAAGGTAAGAGCAGTTTTTTTGTGGTGGTGTTTTACAGATCTTAAAGAGAAACTAATCCGGGATAATTTACATATAGCAAGGATGCTGTTGTTTCTTAAGTTTTCTCTGTAGAACTAGTCAGTCCACTTCATACCCTCTGAAATGACTCCTAAATAACCCTGTGTGTAAGTGTGACTGGTCTCACTGTCATTTCCTGTTATTTAATTTAGTCTTAGATGGCTGGCTAACCGGGGTGCTTCTACACGCCGATGGAAGGAGATTCCACTTCCTTTTCCTATAGTCTGAGGCTTCCTCTTCAGAAAAGACAAATACAGGGTACACATTTGTCAACTTGACCTGAGTTGGGCTGAGCAACCAGATCTCTGCTATTTCCCCTGTATAGTAAGGTAGAAAAAAGCGTTTTGCAGGGAGGCTCTGTGGCCTCGTGGTTAGTGCACATATGTAAGGCAGGATTTCTCAGTTCTGTTTTCAGAGCTCAACAAAATTTAATGGTTTCAGTGTGTTTCTATTTCTTGTACTTCTGTTAATTTCCTCCTCGACTGAAAGTTCCTGTTTTCTCATACGACTTGGGGCAAGTTATTTAACTTGTTTATTTATTTATTTATTTATGGTCCAGCCATGAAAAGAACAACACGTTAAACAGGAGACTGTGGTTTTGAGATCAGTTAGTAAGGTTCTGCACGGCATACAAAGGCAGTAGGAGGCACTAGGTATTCTTTTTGAGGCTGGTGGGAAATTCACCTTCAGAAGGTGGGGTGTACGTTTCTTAAAATGTTTGTTAACTGTCCTACATGTATCCTGTGGGAAAATCTCTGGAGAATCTGCTGATTCAGTCTTTACAGAAAAAAGTTGCCAGTTATATCTTGCAGCAAATAATGAAAATGAAATTATCAGATATCAATGTTTGTAGGGGATTATTAGGGGAGATGCCAAATTCAAAAATCAGACTTTCTCATCAGAAAACCTGTAGTGCTGTAATTTCCCACAGTCCATAGTCACCCTGCTGTATGCAAATGAAGCCTTATTTTCTGCTTTTTGGTACAGTTCATAGCAGAGTGATTTTTTCTAAGCTAATATTAGAACTGTTGTGGCTTTTTTTATTTTTAATCTAAACAAGTATCAGTTATGTAATCAAATTGAGGGTTGCTTGTGAAAACCTTCACTCACTAAAGAAGTGGGATTAATTATTTGAATAAGGGCTTCACTGTGTGAATAAATATTTGCAGCTTTATTACCAAGGCAAAACCCACCTGTTCTTAGTGTAGGAATTGTCCCCAGATGAAAAGTAAGAGAATGTATTGGTTTGCAGTAAACATATCTTTAGGTTGCTAAACTCAGATGTTATGAGTGGATAAATAACTGAACAGAAAGATTTGTTTGCTGCATTGATAAATAGTATGAGAGCAGCTAAGCACAGTAGGGTAAACAAACAGGAAGAAGTATGAAAACACAGATTCAAAGATGCCTAGAAGTACAGATGCGTAGGGTTAACAAACATGACAGGATATGAATAACCAATATACGAACAACTGCAAATATAAAGAATGAGTTTTGTGGGTTACAGCCAATTTAGCTAGCCTTAGGTGATGTTCACTATGGCACCACTTCTCGTTTCTGTGCAGAGCTGGAAATCTACTACAGATATTTGGGGATTCTATTTTTTATTTTTGAAAAAGTTCTTAAGTCAAGATGGGATCATTTTAAGGACAGTGTTTTTTAGCCTTTTTTCATCTGTTCAAGTGCAACAAGGTTTTTAAAGGAGAGGGAGACTGCTACACAAACTTATCTTGGTAAGCTTTACTATCTTGTACCTAAGTTTCAAAGAGTGTCTAGAGCACTGGCTGAAAACTATTTTGGTAGAGCAATGCATTTGCTCTCATAGAACTATGCATTTTATTGCATGAAACAAGGAGTTAAATTCTCCGTTCTGAAATGCTTGATGAAAAGGTCAGGCCACGGTATTTATTCCCTATGTTTGAATCACTTTCAAAGACAAGAGCCTGCTAGGTGAAGATACATACTGGATTATTACTAAATACACTGAATATTACAGTCGTTACTTAACTTTATGGACAGCAGTTATCTATGTGTTTTGGAGGATGGTTGAATTGTCAAAAATCTGTAGACTTTTCCCTACTATTTGTAGTCACCATAATTCGAGACCAGTGCTGGATTTGCCCTAATTGTTTTCTAATTGTGTCTTTTCTGTTTAAATTTCTAGCCATCGCTCACCTCATCTCGTTCCTGTGATACACACAAGAATTGGTTCTATGATGAAACTTTACAAAGGTGCTGTTACCGGTGCCCCTCAGGTCAGTATGTTTATGATGCAGTCAAATTAACATGGAGCCTTTCTCATAGACGTAGTATGAACTGTGTATATCTGCAGAATTGCCTTTTGACCCTGAAGTGCAATTTTGTGAACCATGATCTGGTGTGGATCCAGATGGGAGTTTGTTCTCCACTTCCCTGCTCCTGTTCAGTCTGCATTCAAGCAGTCTAAATTGCAAACAAGATAACTTGCAATTATTGTTTTTTTCAGTTGATTGACACTCATAAGTAGCTAGAAGTAGCAGGTGTTAAGAATTAATTTCAGTTTGCCTCAGGGTATGAAGTAGCGTAATGATATTAGGCTGAAGATGTTTCTGATCAGAGACACAAAGTATAAAGTGATTGTGCAGAAAATCTGTCATTGTCCTCATATTCAAACCAGTTTAGAAAGCATCTCACATGAGGAATGGAACGTTCACTCGTCAGGGGACAGAGTGAGCTTTGCTAGATGCTAGCTGTGAGTTGGAGGCATATGAGCTCAGAAGCAGGAAACATCTTAGAGAGACAAGGGTTCTGGAAATGTCTGAAGCGCTGTGGGTGGGACATTTGATGGTACTTCACCATCATCAGTCTCTTCTTTCAGAAACGTTTTCTCTTCTCTCTCTCTCTCTCTCTCTCTCTCTCTCTCTCTCTCTCTCTTTTTTTGGAAAGGAAATTTTTGACATTTATGTGTGCTCTAATAATACAGAGAGGTTTGGTGCTTGGTTGGTAGCATTTGCATGCTAGGGACATCCTGTACTGCTTCTGGGCACATCACTAGAATCATTCAGAAAATGTATGAGAAAGCAAGACCAAAGGATGGAGAAACTGGTCCTGTAAAAGAGGAAAAGGGGCAAGGACTCTGAGCCAGTTCCAAGCAAAGAAGCTCTTTTCTCCTTTAAAACCATACTTTGCAAATCCTAATGTCTGTCTCGGACATCTTTTGCCATCCTCCAGGGTCTCCTTTACAGCAAAAACTTAGAATCTTTTTTCATTTTAATCTTCCGCTACTCCTTCAGACAATAACACATTCACATCTGCTACTAACTCAACTTCTCGTTGCAAAGAGTAGCTTTTCTAAAATTCCATTTACTCCAAGTGAACGTATTAGAGTCTTGATGCAGTCTGGCTTTACTTTCCTTGGTGTTCCAACCTACAGATGTAGACCTTTCCATCTGAGCACACTGGCTCAAGTGTAAGCCAAATCATCTGTTTCAAAGTTAATTTCAAGCTCAATTTCAATATAAACTTTAAACCAAACCTCATAAGATAATTCAAATCGATTTCTACAATTGCCACATTTCTTCTCAGGTGCTTAATTCTTCTTCAGGTAAAATGACACTTCATACCTTGGACACCAGAAGAACGTTGTCTTTCTGTTCATCACAGAACAGAAAAAAGCCCCCTCTCAAAGGGAGGAATAAAGACTTTCACATGAAATAATAATGTTGCACCTTTCTTCTGTTTATTTTGTTTATATTTTACCTTTTATATTTTCTTGTTATTGTTGTTTTGGGGGCTGTTGTTTTTGCTTTTAGATTCTAAATCAGATATCTAGCTCTATGAGATAGTATTGCATTCAACACTGAAGATAATTTCCTACTCACAGTTAACAGCAAATCCTCAGGAGTGAACGAACACACGTATTCAAAAAAGGAAAACACTTGTTTCGTCTACTTATTTCTAGTACATTTTTCTGTACATACCATTGCAGCTGGTATTCCTTCTGCTTGGGCTTTGATCTGGTTGTTGAGCTATTAACACAATGAAGGACAGTAAGATATGACTGGACAAGCTTCAGAGCTTGTCTACTTGGGGCACACATCCCCCAAGAGAGAGGGAAATTTGCTGTTTCATGTGTACAGGAAGTCTCAAATAACTATAGTTCAAGCTTTTGGGACGTTGTGGGAGGAGGAAGGAAATAACACGCACGTGGAGGTAACTTGCCTGCAGCTTGAATGCTGAGATTCAGACCACTCCAGCAATCGTCCCCAACCTTCAAAAGGAAATCTCAGACAAGTAGTTTTGAGGAAGTATGAGTGATGTGTTTTAAGCTTGTCTGGTCGTATTTGTAGGGCCAAATATAACATAGCTGGTTTTACTTATACTCCCACACCATGCTTGCCAAAGCAAATAGTAGGTGAGTTATTTTCCTGCCAGGTCTTCCATGCCTGTGGTTAATTAACCCTTTACAACTGAGTGATGCGGTCTGGTGCTGAAAGTGGGATATATTTCTCTCTCGTTTACTACCCATGAAACATTCAACTCTGCCTATCTTTATGCTGCTGTTTCAGCTTTTCCTTTTGCTTCTGCAGCTGTCACTTTTCCTTACCATTGTGGTTTAACCTTACAGGCAGCTAAGCACCACACAGCTATTCACTCACACACTCCCGCTCCAGTGAAATGGGCATGAAAATTGGGGAGGTTTCTGAACAGGTATCCTCCACATTTTGTTTTTCTTTCTCCAGGGTATGCTAAAAGGAAAGCCTGTCCCACGGACCCAGCTGAAGACTGCATGAGATGTGGACCTGAACAATATCTGAACGAAGAATCCCAAAAGCCACATTGTGATGCTTGTGTGTCATGTACAAAAGGTAGTTGATTTACTTTTTATCACACATACTTTACCATTAGAGCCCCTCTAAATATTGTCTTTATTAGTATTTTATTAATTTAGTATTTCCAGCAGCAAAGTTATCTGCCCTTGGCTACTGCTCCAGAGAGCAGAATGCTACCTTGCACATAACGAGTACCACTTCTTGTTTGGCCTGGGACTGCCTGAAAGTTCTCACATCTAATGCCATCCAAGTCTGATTTCTGCTTTCTGTCTTCTATTACAAACTATTGTCTACAGCTTTGTCCAATTGTGCATGACTTAAATTGCCATCACAAAGAGTGCCAGCAGCCCATTCTGCTTCCCAAGCCTTTGAAATGGTGTTGCTCAGCTTTGCCTCCTGCTTTGCCTTTCCCTTGCAGGGTGATCATTTGCTACTCCATCTGTTTCTTTCCTGCAGAATCTGACCTTGTGGAGAAAGTGCCCTGCTCCTTCAATTCTAGCCGCGTGTGTGAGTGCCGACCAGGTCTGTTCTGTCAGACTGCTGTTAAGTACACCTGCATGCGATGCCAGCAGCACACTGCTTGCAAGCCTGGTTTTGGAGTCAAAGTCAGAGGTAGGAATTCCTCCCTATCTAGTTTGTCTTTTCTGATCTTGGGCATAGTCCTGGACCTATGGCATTTTGGTTAGTCTGTCATCAGTCATTGTTTTCATTCAGGCACCTCAACAACTGATGTTGCTTGTGAAGAATGCCCCCCTGGGACCTTCTCTGACCAAACCTCCAGCACTGACATCTGCAAGCCCCATACTGAGTAAGTGCATAGCTTTTTGAAGTGTTTAACTGATTAGCTGAAGCTAATAAAAGACCCGAAGGGACTCCTGTCACTTCTTCTGGTGCAAAGTATACAAATTCATTTTAAAGGCAATGGGATAGCTTTGAGCCTATGTGCAGAGTTTTGAAGGCCCCTCGTTATGCTTGTTGCACAGCTCGATACTGAAGGAAGGAAGGACTCTCCCTTGCCTCATTTTCTGCTCTCTGCGTATGGTTAGTTTATATGCACAAGTGATTTTCAGGTTTGCATCCAGGTTAAGAATCAGTGCCACAGAGGTGAGATGGAAGTTAATGACTTCCTGACCAAAAGCAATAAATGCACATGGTACAAAAAATGACTGAAAGTGATGTTTGCTGTATAGAACACCTTAGCATATATCAGAGCATTTTCTGTCAGTGCTGATACACTGTTCTCTCTTTCATTCCCTAGCTGTGCCAAGTTAAACAAAGTAGCACAAAGCAAAGGAAATGCCACACATGATGAGGTTTGCCTGGACCAGTTGCCCACCTACCTCACCCCAGGCACTTTCTCCACCAGATTCAGCAATGAAACAAATAACTCTGACCTACTGAGGCTTGAGGCGAACTTGGTCACTATTTCTAGTGCTCTTTTAAGTGCTGCAACAACTGAAAACCCTAGTTCTACTCCCAAGCAGAATGCTCCGGCTGGTACTCTTCCCACCTCAGACAAGGGGGAGACAACAACAGGAGGTAACGAAGATTTACTCTTTCTAGCATATTTTACTTGTACGTATCTTTAGTAAAAACAATTTTTATGTGAGAGCTTCCTGCAAAATCCTTATGACTTTTAAAATTATATCCATCAAACACACAGATCTACTGAAAGTAGGCAGTGCTGACAGAAAAGGCAGCACTCTGCCTCTTCTTGAAATCACTGTCCTCCTTTTCCCCTTCTGAGCAGTAGGTCTTGTTTGGGGAGTGGTTCTCTCTGTGATGCTGCTACTGGTAGGCATGCTGTTGTTTTGGAAATGGAAGATATGCAAGAAACGAATCTTCATCCTCAAAGGAAAATGTGAGTTTTTAAAGCTGTAACACATAGCATGCTGTTTAACCTTCAAGGACATGCCACCTGGGAACTATAATATCCTAAAACTTTATGGAGGCCAGTAAGGGAGATGATATTTACGAGCACCTGGTGAAGACAGGCCAAATGTTCTAGGCAATCTGTGCAATATGTTGGAGAACCTTAGAAAAAGACTGAAACGGCTGTTAGTTTATGGAGGAAGATGCGAAAAGCTGGGTGGGGAAATGGTAACGGGTGACTTTTTCTCTCAGCGCAAACATATTAATGTAAAAATAAATATTAAATGATGCCTGAAGTCTTTTGTGAGTATTTTCAGCTTACTGGGAGTGGGCTGGACTTGGAACCTGTTTACTGATTGTGACTCTCTGTAGCTTTGCGTAGAGTTGAATGTGGGGTGTGCCTGCATAACTACATTCCCTCTTTAATAGAAAGCAGGATGTGCAATTTGTAGGTTGCTTGTAGACCTGTGGGTGTGGTAAAGCTGTTATAGTCCCTGTGCATCATGATTTTTGTTAAACGAATGTTTTATTTTATCAGCACATCTCACTTCACACAAATCCAGGATCAGATCTGACGGTGAGTGACTGACTGACCAGAAATTGTAATACATATGATTAAAGAATAAATGGCTAGTCTTAATGTGGAGTTTTAATTTATGAAACTTTAAAACATGGAACCAATTTAAGTCAAATGAATGTACCTGTAGACATGCAAAAGGCCAGTCCTGTGGTCTGTCCTGTGCAGGCAAGTACTGCTGTGAATATGACAAGCCACTAGATGGCAATTTTTTCCCATTGCACCTGAGTGACTGGGTGATGCAGCAGTGTGGGGAGGCTTTGCTGGAAAAATGTCAGGTTCATTTCTGCGCACTCAAATCTGGGAGATGTGTTCCCAAAAAAGTGGATGTTAGCCATAGCAATCTATACATATCTCCTGGATTACAGCCATTTTGCTTAATTAACTAATCCCCTCTTAGCATTTCCACTTCCACTGATTGCTCTATTGTCATCTATTGTGGTAGATATTTCTGATCACCATACATCAGAGCATTTTCCACTCATTTATTCAGGAATATGATTTAACACCTCTCACATGAGCTCAGCTTTCTCAAAGTGGAATTGTTACCTCCTGACTTGCTTTACACATTAGGAACTGTTGCTCTGCAGCATTATAGAGTTGATGTTGAGAATAAAGGTGGATGCATGTCAGAGCTAAATTAGTAGGCCCGAGCCTGTCTAGCTTCATGGTATTGTAAAAGGATGCTGAACACTCCCTTTTTCCCAGCTCCCTTCTTTCCCTAGTGTTCCCTTCCTCCACCCTTGCATAAAATCCCACCTTCTTTATATTACTGACCACACAATGACCTGATGCAACTTGTTAATCCAGTAGAAAGCTATTCACTTTTTATTTTTTGATTTATTTATTTTGATAAGACAGTCTTCTGCTTCTTTAGAAAGCTTAATCAGTTCATCATGTGATTAGGTGAACACCAGTTTTGGTGTGTGGAAAGTGATAGGACCTCACATGGTTGGCAGCAATGTGTCACTGCTTCACCTCACCCCTACCATGGAAGTGTGTCCTCTGTGGTAAAGAAAGAAAGATACAGGTGAGTTAGGTTGTAGAGTAGTTTAGGACGTGGGTGGGTGATATTTCAGAGAAAATATTAATGTTCTTGTGATTGCTGTGAAGTCTCTTCTGATAATTTTTCTTCTTTCCATTGCAGGTTCTGATCTGGTGAATGGTATTCCGAAACAGATCCCTTTCTTTTCCAATGTAAATAACTAACAATATTTTTTAAATGTTCTGTTAAAAAGTGCCGGCCTTTTTATTTGTCATTTTCTCTGTAACCTGTGATCCCCCAGGTGCAGAGATGAGACATACTAGGGATTGCTACTTTCATGTCTTGGGCTCCGTTTAATGTAGTGTTAAATAATGTATTTCTGCCAGTTTTGCTTCTGAAGGGAGTATTTAAATTTGGAAAATATCTTCTTAAAGTTTTTCCTGAACCAAATCCCTTCAAATTCTTACTTCCAGAATCTATCTTTCTTACTGATGTTATATTCTTTGCTGAAAGGTGCCACTGAGCCTCAGTCCCCATAATGCAGCTGCTACTGTATTGCAGGGTAGCACGCTCTGCAACAGAGCATGCAGTATAAGACATGCAACAAAAAGTCAGAGTGACAAATAAGCAGATTTACAAAGGTTCATCAGAATCTAAATTGCAGACGTATCAGGTGGAATTTACCAAAGCATCCACTCAGGTTCAGGAAACTAGATTTCAGTGGAAGTAAGGTACATTCTTGCAAATCTCACAAAAAATAAAATAAAATCTGTGCATTTAGCTTAAGAATGCTATTTTTAAATATGGCCTTAAGTAATACAGGAACCTAATTCAAAGGAACTTAAGTTCCTCTATCTGTTAGGCACTTTGAATTTTTTTACTCCCTGTGACACTGGTGCTGGTATGTTATTCTGGCTGCTACAGAAGGATTCAATAGACCTGTTACAATGTTCTTTTTGCATTGACCCTATTTCTACTCGTCTCTGTATTTGCAGATCATGCTTACTACTGATCAAGGGCCAGAAGAGAAGGAGCTAATTGACAGAAACCTTCCTTTGGAAACCAATAACAACTTGGTTTCCAGCACAGAAAAAGCTTGTAGTCCTGATCTGAGTCTAACTGATGTGACACAGAGCAATGGAAATGCCCCAGATTGCCCTGTCGATTCTCGAGTGAGAGACCACACAAATAATCGAATTGGTAAGTCTTGCCTTTTTTTTTTTTTTTTTTTTTTTTCCAATTTTTAAGCCACAGGAACATAATATCATTCTGAAATTATTAGTAAGCTGGAAAATTATCTGAAGCTCTTAACAGAGCTGGCCCTGGACGCTTGACGCTGTTTACCATATGCGGGTTGGGTTATTTCATGTGTGTGGGATATGTATGTATGTATTTACTTATTTATTTATTGCTGTGAGTCAAATCCAAGGAGTTACAATGGCTAAGCTGATCCAGAACTGTTTTCTTAGGGTTGCTGGGATCCAGTCATGCTTTTCTAGAGGGCAAGAGGAGACAAAGCACAGAAAGAACAAGGAAAAGGAAAGGCAGAAAATGTATTTTCTGTTTTTAGTGCCACAGATCAGCAAAGATTTTTGTTATTCTAAGCAGTTCAAAAAACAGGCTTTTGCAAAATGCCAATTCCCTGAATTGGGAGAGAGAAGGCTGTCTGGGGAGGCAAGGTAGTCAAAGAAATGAAAACCAAAACTCCTTAGCATTTCCTACATTTCTGTACAGTGTTGAACTTTGCCCAAGGACTGCTTTTAATACAGATATTTTTGTTTTTCAGAACAGCAGGAACATAAACATTGAACTATCCATAGCTATCTTCCCCAGATCCCAGTTAATTGCTTCTTCTACAAGATTCTTGTGAATGTCTTACTGCCTTTTCTGATCTGTCTTTCTCCTGTAGTCCTTCAGCTTCATTACAGGAGGGCTAGAGCTACTTGATCTAGAATGGCCAGAGTCCCCATGGCAGTGATCCAAAACCACAGTGTGGCTTAAAATGAGCAGGCCGTCTTTATCACTCAGTATGTTCAATACTTTTATTATAAAGAGATAAAGAAATAGGCAAAATGTGTGAGTTACATAAGCTTTAGTGGGTTAGTGAATTCTGTGTTTTCACAGTGACAGACTTGATTTGCATACCTCTGATTTTAAAAAAGAAGCAAATAAAAGTTGAGTAACAAGTTAAAATTTTGCATGGAAAGGAACCATCTCTAGGGACAGCCATATTGTTACCTATGCTCAGCACTATTTTCTTCCTTCCTCAGAAACAATATACATCATGAAGGCCGATACTGTTATTGTGGGGTCCATTTCAGAAGTGCCTGGTAGCAAGAACTGTGCTGCTAGAGGATGTGAAAGTGATGTTGATATACAGGAAAACACGGAAGAGGAATTGGAGATGCACTATCCAGAGCAGGAGACAGAGTCTTTTCCAGGGAATGATGTCATGGTTCCTGTGGAAGAGGAGGGAAAGGAATTCCATCACCCCACCACTGCCACTGAAAAGTGATAGCCCACCAAGAAGGTGTGCAGCTACAAAAACACCCAGTGTGACACTAAGCCGAAATCTACAACAAGGGAGGCAAACACATAGTGTCTTAAATAATCTGAAAACTCATGTAGAACACCAAAAAACATTCAGACAAGGAGCACTATAACCTATTTCATCTAACTAATGAGAGGATTATTCAAACTGCTGGCCTTTGTAGATCATATCAAATATTTTCTCTTTCCCTTGCTCTCCCAGTATCATGCTGGAAACAAATTTGAATCAAAGCTACAAAATTCAGAGGACTTCTGGATGCTAACTCAAATTTCACAGCTTGCTTTCTCTGTGTGAAGGACTGGATCGAAACCTACGTTTGATTACTTCTATTAGCTATTAAAATTCTGGCCATAATTCCAAGTTAATCTTGACACCCAGCCACGTTTCACATATTGTTTCTGTTCTTTTACCAACACTTCCAATTTTGACACAGATTTTGTAACATCCAGTATTTTTTAAGGTCTCTGCTCTTGAATGAAAGTGATGATAATTTCAGTTTTCACTAACAAATAGGACTCTTGCCTTGTGGACTTCATAAGGAAACAGGATCAACAAGCTTGGAAAACAGAATGCAAATAAAACTAGTTGAAGTCCGTTGTACTTTAGGCCAATCCTTCTATTTTTGTCACGTCTGATTCATGTTTCTAGACTATTTCAAATCATTAGTAAGCACAGAAAATGGTCTCTTCTAATGGAAGCCAAACTAGCTGAACATTTGGATGTTGAATGAACTACAGGTTTAAGCCAACGCGAAATCTGTAAAAGGGGAAAATAAGAAAAACTTTTTCTACAAAAAATGAAGGACTGAAAAATAGGCTAGCAATTACTTCTTGTCACATTGTCAATATCTGCTTGCTTTAGAAAAATTTCTCATAATCATAAGAGTGACACTGAATCATATATGTTCTTTAAAATAATTCTGTTTGGTTTTGTGGTCAACTGCCTTGTGTTACGCAGTTTCTCAAAGTTCATGCTGCTTGTTTGATAACTGTAAATGTAATAGTGCTGACTATGTTTTTGCACAGGACAGTGGAAAATGAGCAAGATGACAAAGTGTGCCTTAATAGTAAAAAAAGGAACCACAAAAACAATTACTTGCTTTGTAGTTTTACCCTGGACAGAGTACTGTAATAACAGCTGCGCAACTTCAGTGTCTTTTGTCTTAGAAGAAACAAAAGGAGCGTAAAGGCGTACAAAACACCTTCCTGAGAAAGACTCCCAGTACAAGTTACCCACTGTTTTATCTGTGACAGTGGCAGTAAGAGATGCTATTTAGGGAGATAACATAAGCCTAGTTAATATCTGCTGTTTTCATTCCTCGTACTTCTGCAACATCAGCTGTAATCGGATTAAGGATGTTGAGTTTGTCCCAGCCTTTAGAATTCCTTTTGTTGCTGTTAATTTTTCTTACCTCTTCTGAATTTCCTGGTATAATCTTCCTCCACAATCACTCTGTGACAACAGATTACAGATAGTTTCAATTCACCGTGTAAAGTACTTTTACTGTTTTTAGAATGACCTCTATTCAGTGAGTACCACTAGTTCTTGTATTACAGAATTTAGTGCAATACTGAGTTGCCGTTATAATACTTGATTGTACCCTCCTCAGCATCCAAGCTGAGTTCCTATCTTTTTATATTTCTTGTGTAAGTTATCTGATCCACTGCCTTGGTGATTTTAGCTGACCTCTTCTTTATCTCCTCTAACTTCACTATGTTCTTCTGGAGATTTGGATACCAGAACCATGTACTGCACTTAAGAAGAGGGTATGCCAAGGTTCTAAATGGTGGCAAAATTACAATTTTTATTTTGTTCTTAGCACCTTTGTAGATGATGCCCAGCATATATATGTTTTTCTGGGGTGTGACGGGTGGGGGCTGTCCTTGCACAGATGATTTCAAAGAACCATCAAGGATGATTCCAAGATCCCTTTTCTGAACCGTAATTGATAGCTACTAATTCAGCATCAAGCAGGCCTGGTTTAGATTATATTTTCCTGAATCATAGAATGGTTTGGTTGGAAGGACTTTCAAGATCATCTAATTCCAACTCCCCTGCCATGGGCAGGGACACCTTCCTACTAGATAAGGTTGCCCAGGGCCTCATCCAGCCTGGCTTTGAACACTTCCAGGGCTGGGTCATCCACAGCCTCATGAGCAGCCTCTGCCAGTGCCTCGCCACCCTCACAGTGAAGGTTTTCTTACTTGTATCTAATCTAACCCTACCCTCTTTCAGTTTAAAGCCATTACCCCTTGTCCCATTTCTACATACCCTTGTAAAAAATCCTTCTCCAGCTCTCCTGAAGCCCCCTTTAGGCAGAAGGCCGCTGTAAGGTCTCCCCAGAGCCTCCTCTACTCCAGGCTGAACAGCCCCAGCTCTCTCCATCTGTCTCCACAGCAGAGTTGCTCCAGCCTCTGATCATCCTCGTGGCCTCCTCTGGGCTTGCTCCAACAGGTCCATGCCCTCCTTGTGCTGGGGGCCCCAGAGATGAATGCAGGGCTGCAGGTGGGGTCTCAGAAGGGCAGAGCAGAGAGGGACAATCCCCTCCCTCACCCTTCCGCCCACGCTGCTTTTTGTGCAGCCCAGGATACGGTCGGCTCTCTGGGCTGCAAGTGCAAGTTGCTGACTGATGTCAATCATCAACCAACAGCCCCAAGTCCATGCACTCAATTCCAGCATCTGCATCACCAACAAAGATGTTAAACAGCGCTGGGCATGATGCTGACCCCAAGGAGCTGCTGCCTCTCATCACTGATCTCCACTTGGACACCAAGACATTGACTTGCAACTCTTTGAGTGCGACCATCCAGCCACTTCCTCACCCCCGGAGTTGTCCTTCCATCAAATATACAGTCTCCAATTTAGAGACAAGGATGTTGAAAAGTGTTAAATGCTTTGCACGTGTCATATGCATTGCAGCCTGTTAAATGTATTATACTTGATATACTTAAGTAACACTGACGATCTTTGAATTAAAAGCGCCATGGATTTTATCCTGTAGCCACGCTTTTGTGTCTGACCTGTAAATGTTTCATTGCTGTTGATACTTGCAGTACACAGATCAGTTGCAGAAAAAAAAAATCTTTTTGCAGGCGAGCAGTTTGAAAGTGAAGAAGCTATTAGACAAGTGCAGTTTTTCTCAGGAGCGGAGCAGGTCTAAGTCCTCTTAATACCATCCTGGCAGCGTGCAGAAGACAGTAGCGAACGCGGTGCGGTGCAGCACGAATGAACGCTGCGAAACGTAAGTTGCTATTTTGGGGGCTAATAAGTAACTAAACCTAAATCAGAGCAGAAATAAGCCCACAGTGCCTGCTGAGGACCTCCCCTAGGATACAGCTTCCAGCTCCGAGGGCGGGGACCGCGGCTCTTTACCCCCGCAGCCCTCTGCGATGCTGAGCCCGGGGGCGGGTGCCCCGGGAGCCTCCAGCTCCGCCTCGCCGCCGGCCTCTGTCGGTGCGATGGGGCCGCGCTGGCTGCTGCTCGCCGCCCTCCTGCGAGGAGCCGTGGGCGGCCGGGTGAGTGCAGGGGGCTCCGGGAGGGGCTGCAGAGGGCTTGTGGGGGGCCCCCGGTGCCGGGTCGGGGTCCCCCCGCAATCCTGCGGGCAGGGCAAGGCGCCAGCGGGCGTCTTTTTCGCTGTCAAGCTCGGTGCCGTGAGCTGGCTGCCTCCCTCTGCTGCTCAGTTCTTCGGGAGCCTCAGGGCTTTTGGACTTCCTTCCAGCTCGTCCTGCTCCCTTTGGCGAGGTTCGTTGTTTTTTTCTGGGTTCCCAAAGGGATGGCTAACCGTTTTTTTCCTGGGTTTTCATTGGAAGTGCGTTGGTTTTTCAGGCTTGTTGGAGTATTTGCAAAGATTGGGAGGGTCCTGGCAAGTGTGGAGTGTATGTCTGTATTTAACACCGTTATTTAAACAGGAAGAGCTTGTTGTGCTCTACTGCATCCCTTAAAAACATTCCTTATTTACATAGAAAAGCCCTTTAATTTACAGCTGAGACCCGATGCGATGCAGCTGTGACTGTTCTATATCTTGCTGAATTACTGAATTCTGTTCTTCAAAGTATCCTGTTACTGTTTAAAGCAAAAAGTTTCATGGGATCTATTTGACTTTGGGTGTATGCTGTGCTGGTATAATGGATAGTGTTTTTCTATTTGATTTTAAGGTTTATTGGACTGTGAAGATAAATGTGGAAATAATTCTGAGATGTCCATTTCATTGCTTTTTCATGGGATGTGTGTGTTATTTACACATTTATTTAATCATATTAATTGAGCCTTCATAAGACACATGTTCAGTGAAACTAGGTTAGGGTGTCAGAATGTTTATTGAACCTGGAATTACAGAGCTGTCTTTTCAGGAGGACTGGGTGCTGTACTGGGTTTGATAGTACATCATTTTTTTCATCTGCAGTTTCATTTTGAATTCAGCCCCTGCTTGTAAGTGGTAGCATTTTGAACATGATTCATATGAAACACTTTAGACTGGATGGGTTAAAGCAGATAAAGAAGGGAGAGCCTCAGAACTGTGGCAGATAGTATCACCAAAATGTAAGCATGAAGTTTTGTCATGCTTCTTGCTGTCAGCCTTAACAAAGGGTTTGTATTAAAAAGGAATTAATTTTTCTGTCACCCTAAACATTATCTTATAATAATGGTAAATAATGGTAAAAAAGCATGGAGGAAAGTTTCAGCATCACTTTTTGCATTGTCCTTGGACTCCTGACAAACCAAAGTCCGTATATGAATTAGAAAACCAAACCTAGTAGCTTCAGACACATCATCTCTGCCACACCACAACAACAAAAAAGCCTGTTACATCAATTTTTAAAAGTGTTGAGTTAAAGAAAACTTGGTTTAGCATTGAGGGAGAGAAACTGGTAAAGCAATAGCTCTTAAGCAACACACACTTTCTTAATTTTCCTCAGCCTAACTAATCTTAAATATTCTAGCCTAATTCTCTATGCTACTCACAGGAACTGAACGTATTTTTTGCTATTTTGAAGACCTCAGCCATCAGATATTTTTAATTGAAACTTTCTCAATAGCCTCAACCCTAAATGACTGTCCTTTGCAGAGCAGTGGAGCTGCTGATGTGTGCAGAGGAAGCCATCCTCTGGATGCTGCTGGCTGGTTGTAAAGGAATGCTGCTGGTGTGTGGAAGGTACACTGAGCTGCAAAAGGATAAATGTAACAGAAGATCTTATGGAAAACCCTTGAAATAAAGGGCTAAAGGCAGACTGCTCAGATGCCATTCTTTTTTATGGTCAAAGCTAAGGAGGCCATGGGCGACCTGTACCTTTCTGTTGTACATATCCTCATGTGTGGTCGTTGCATCAAAGTTCATAGTAACTGCAAGTCTTAACAGGCCACTGCAAAAGGCACGTGTGATACAAGCAATGCCATTCCAAGAAAATTCTCAGGCTTGCAATGTATTATTCCACTTGCCTTCCCCGTTGTTTGCCTGTGTAACTTTGCTTTCTGCGGGGGAAGTATAGATTTTAAGGCTTATTAGCTCTGACAGTACCTTTAAGTATCAGATCTTGATTTAGTGGCTGATATCTTTTATTAGGGCAACATTTAGGAAAACAGAACAGCTTTTGGATGCATATGCTTGAAGTTTTGAAACATAAGAGCTGGTATTCTGGAAATATATGGATATTGATGTGTGGATATAACACATGAGATGCTGTGTCTTCCTGCAAACTGCCCTGCATCTATAATTTCTGTATGTTGTGAATAACTTCCATATCCTATACTGTCTACTGCCACCTCGTTTTGGGAAGATGTTCTCATATTATGGTGGTGAGTGGCAGTGAAGTGGAAATCCCTAACAGTAACCAAAAGATACTATTTTCTCAGGAGGTGGGGAAGGTTGTGGCCATCAATCTGTTTGTGGCTATGCAAGGACTCCTGGTTTACACAAATAAAGCTGGATATAATATGGGAGAGCAGTTCATATAATGGACCTTAATCTTAAAACTTCTTTCAAATACTGCTCTAAGATTAGGTTATGCTTTCAGTATTGTTGGTCTAGCCTGATGCCCTGATACAACTCCCACTGATTTTGGTGATAAATGCTGTTATCTAAGACAACTCTAAT